AGAGAGAGAGAGAGAGAGAGAGAGATCTATAGAGAGACCACTGAAAATTATCTGATCTGTATCTTTATTTTTACTTTTTATAGGTATATGTTTGAGAAAAATTAACATTGTGTTTTGTACTCTGTGAACTGCTGACAACATGTCTCCGAACTTCCAAGCAAAACTTCAGTATTTGTTTGCAGAAAATGAGAAATGGTCAAAATAACGACAAAGATGCAACGCTTTCAGACCGCAAATAATGAAAAGAAAACAAGTTCATATTCATTTAGAAACAACACTACTAATGTTTTAACTCAGGAAGAGTTTAGAAATTAATATTTGGTGGAAGAACCAAGAGGTTTTCAATGGGGTTCAATTAAGTGAACTCTTAATTTTTTCCAGAGCTGGACATATGAAAAATAAAGCCAGTGAAGCATTGTACTGAAAGCTGTAATGCTCCACTTGTGAAAGTAAAACTGTTATGATTCTTCTGGGCACTCAGACAAGACAACAGTTCTGAGTGTTGCAGTGACAGGATGAGTAGAGAGAGAAAGAAAAATGACCTGCTTCTTCGACCGCCTCCTCATAAGTGAGTCTTTTTGTTGCGGTCCCTCCAGATTCGTCTGAGATGACTGAGGACCTTCTGTCGAAAATCACCTCACCTGTAAATCAGCAAAACATCAATTTTTCCTACTTTTTCATTGATGTGTGTAAAATAAAACCTACAAATTATCAGACTGAAGGATCTAACTGACTGTTTAGATTTTTATTTTCAGGTAAGGACGTCAGAGTGTTAATTTCACACATTTACAAGAAAGAAAACCCTTTTTTTTAAATTCCCCTTTGTTTATACATTTATATTTAAAATGTCTTAATTGAGAGCAAATAAAGATGATTCTGAAAATAAACACACTGTGAAATACTTCAGTTTGTATTATTTTTGCAAGATTTGTCCAATGTAATGGACAACAATAACAAAAGAAATGCAATTAAATGCATTTTTTATAATATAAAAAACTCGACTAGCCAAAAAAAAGTATACTATACACGTTTCCTGTGCATTTATTATTAAGCATTTACAACAATAAAATAATCTTTACATGTGTGAAATATAAACCTGTGCCAAAACAGGCACAATATCAATCCTAAAATCACTGGTGAGGGAATCAGAATTAGATATTGTCGCCACAAAAAGAAAAAAAGAAATTAATGTCAGACTATAGTGATCTGCATTTAAAATGTCTGATATAAGCACTCTGCCCCAGCAGTGCTTGTATCTTGCACACAGACTCATTGGTTAGTAATAAATGGGTCAGTTGTTCCCTATTTGGTTAATATCACATGATCAAGCTTTTGCTAGCTATTCCAAATTATGTAATAAAAGTATATGATTCTTGCTGATACAGCATCGGGTCAATATCTGTATCGGCCAACACTCAAAGCTACAATATTACTTTCCTATCAAGTTGTATCGAACATGTATTTTGATTATCAACAGCTCGTATATGAAAACATGAACTTACAAGTTATCAACAAGTTCCTCCAATCCACTGGTCACCTCTTACAGAACTTTATAGAACCTCATTCATTAGACATTGTTTAAGAATAGCAATGGAGACTAATATTTGTTTGTTTGTTTCTATAAAGCTGTGATTGTCCCTCTCCTCCTCCCCTTGTTAAAATTTAATGAAGTGATGGAGCCTCTGGTTGGCTTTTACCTTCATCAGAGTCCAGCTCGGTTGGATCCAGCTGATTTCCGTTGAGAAGCGGCCTTCGCGCCTCCTTATCTCCACCATTATTGTTACGGGACATTCTGCCCTCCGACAGCCTGTGGTCTCCGTAGCAACGTGGGTGGATTAATTAACTTTAGCTGCAGCTGTGTGTGGGTCTCATGACACCTGAGCCTAGCGGCTTGGCTAACGCTGAAGCTAACCTGCCCGAGCAGAAGCAGAAGAAGAAGAAGGAGGAGGAGGAGGAGGACCAGGAAGTAAAAGGCAGCGGCGGTTTACACGTCCTGAGCGCCGTGTCTCTGCTCCTCCTGCTCGGTGTGGCTAAGCGACAGACAGCGGGCTGAAGTAGAAGCACAGCCGGGGAGTGTGACGGTGCTCTGGCCTCGGTGTTAGCGGCTAACTCTCGGGCGACACGCAAACAAATAAGCGCTTCGAGGACGCAGAGGAGGTAGCGTTACCTCCACTTCGGGTTTAAAAACAGGAAAAAAAGAGAGACAGCGAGCGAAGATGGCGACCAGCTCAGAGCGCAGTCCTCCTCCGTTCCCGGATTCCGAGGACCAAGATGCTCTGGACTCCGAGGAAGTCAGAGGCCGAGAAAGCGACGAGGACGACGGGGAAGAACTTTTCTTGAGCGCGGTATGTTTCCTTGGAGCTGACGCTCGTTGCGATAAGGCTAGCTGATATCAAAAGGGAGGTAACCAGGGTGAGCTAACAGGGGAGGTTTTCAGGAAAAGTTTTAGTCGATGCTGACCAACATTTATCTACTCATTCCTTCTGGAAACATTAAAGTTAACACGCATCACTCTCTGCTGATATTAAACTCGTAGCTGTCGCGGTAATTTCATTTTAATACACGGTGGAGGAGCTCAGCCTTCAGACAGTTTGTAGATGCATGAAGTTAAAAACGGCTACTTCTACTTCTTCCTAAAAGTTACATATTATCCGTGATTTGAACAGCGTGCTAACTCACGCTAAACTTCCTGTGTGGTTATTGATATGTGGCTTTTTTTTAAGTTGAAAGTATTCACAGCTACTTCCACTATCCAAAGTGAACTTGGAGTAAACTTGACTTTCGGGTGTGCGGTTTTGCCCGTGCGTGGAAAAAGTTAGCAGTCTGAACAGACTGTGCTTCTCCGTCTGATGTTTTTCAGAAACTTTTATTTCCATATTTGTAGATTAAATTCAGTTTGCAGGGTAGGATTGTAAAACTGGCTCATGCTTCCTCCTGTCATGTGAGGACGCTGCGGTCACATGGTCAGAACCCGGATGTTTTCAGTCAAAGTTCAGAGGAAAATCTGGAAAGTTGCTGCAAGTGATTTTTTTCCCCCTCTCTTTTTCCTTTCTCTCCCCTCCCAGAGTTTGACTCATCGTTGCAGGGAGGACATCAGTCAGCATTTTTGATGTTTCAGTTAGCAGAAATCCTGTTTGTACACGGAGACAATCTATCCTAGGCTAAGCAGGCATTAGATGGAAACATCCTTGTGGTTGAACGATTTAATCAGCGTTTCTTAAGAGGAGAATTATTTGCAACTACACCCAGTTTTCCAGGAGCACTTACTGCGGTTTCTTTCTTTCTTTCTTTCTTTCTTTTTTATTTCCTGTCAGCAGCTGCCCAAACTGACATTTCGCAAAAAACCGAACATCGACTTAAAAGTAGTGGGGGGACTTGATTAAAAGTTTTAATCGAGTTAATTGCATAGTCTCTAACTTATCAAAATGAATCACATTTTAATCAAAAACCATGCATTGGCAGAAATAAACTTTCAATTCAAAAACCCATTTTGCTGCTTAATTATAGAATAAATAGACACATGAGCTCAACAACAAAAATATTTTGTGTTTACAAGGTTTCTCCCACAAAACTTGCTAAGCCCGGTGGTCCCAACCACAGCTCGATAGTTCATCCAGCGGCCCATTGTGTTTTTGAGTAAAAAAATGTTTAAAGTTGACAGAAAATGTGAAAATATCACTTGATAATTATGTGTTATTGGAAGAACACCAATCTGAACACCAATTATAAAGTCTTAAAAATGCAAACGTAAAAAAACCAAAACCTTAAATCAATAAGTACCTCTGATCATTCATGGAGTATCTTTAGAAATGTGTACTGTGGTTGTGTTGGGGATGTCTCTCCTTGTCCAACACTTCAGCATTGAGATGCTAGAATGGCTTCACTGATAGGCTAGCTCCTTTTAGCACAACTTGAACACTGCAGTAGTCTTTTCCAAAGTCCCATAATAAAGTTTTTGAAGCTGAAATTAATCTCCAGTGGGTCAAGAGAAGTAAATTTGTTGTCCATTGCTGGTTTTAGCGAATGTCATTTGTACGCCAGATTTACAGGCGTACCAGAAACGCATGATTACAAAGGTTATTTTACTGTAGCCACAAACATTTGTATGTTTTATTGGGATGAGTCATTACATCGTAGAACCAACTTTCACTGCGATTCCAGCTGCCTTTTTATGGTACGCCTCTACCAACTTTACACAGACTGAAACCCTTTTGCTCATTTTTCTTTGCAAAGCATCTCAGGCTGAGATTGGATAAATATCAGTTTACAAGCCTTCCAATGTAGATTTACTGTCTGAACTTTGACTGAAAAAATGTGTCATGCGATTGTGTTCTGACACTTTTATGTTGATGGTGCTAAATAAAATCCAGTAAAACCAACGGCCTTCAAAAGTCACCAAATTCATCACTGGAGTCCAACACATCCTCAGTATGAACATGCCTGATCTGTAGAGGCACACAGCAGTTCAGACATAAAGTTGTGTAGTAATTTAAAGCAGTATAGTTTATGAAATATTATCTCAACTTCAAACCTGAAGTGAAGCCTTTTAAGCTAGGGTTTTCTCCTAGTTTTTTTTTTTGTTTTGTTTTCTGTGAAAAGATTGAAATTGAGTCATTCAGACCTCCAAGAAAAAATCGGGTATAGGTAAACAAAATCTGATTTGTGTCGCATTTGTCCACTCCAAGAACTTGGCTTTAGCGTAGCATTACTTCAACATAAATGTACACAAGTAAAAGTATCCATCCAAGAAATCACTCACGTAGGACTAAAACGGTATTTGGTTAAAAAAAGAAGTGTACTGAAGATACTGTGAAACTGACACCTGATTTAACATTTAAATCTGATGTAACCAGACAGGCAAAAATGTAAAGTTATGTAATCAATTTCTTAAAATGCAGTCCTAAATCACTTTTTGCCAAAAGTGAAATTTGACTTAGGCCAAATTTCACTTATTTCACTTGCGATTTGCAAATTTAGGTATTTTAAAGTTAAAAAAAAATCTAAAAATCTAAATCAGATTTTTTTTCAGCATAAAACATATGAAACCATTACTTCCAGTAGGTAATGTATATGTGTGAGAACAGGGTAAAAGTAGACCCAGTAACAATATCTACTGTAGCTTCACTTGGCCTCCAAATGCTTCAGCAAATGAAAAGTAATATTAGAGCAACACACCTTGTGTGAAAACAAGACGTTCATATAATGTGCGTGTACGTGCGTTTGTAATGCCTTGTGGGGACAATTTTCCTGACATTTACTATGTTGTGGGGACTGGAGCCTGGTCCCCACAAGGGGAAACCCTGTTTTTGGGTCAGGGGTCAGAGTTAGGGCTAAGGTATGAATTGAGTTTTGGTTAGGGTTAGGAAAAGGGTAAAGGTAAGGTTTAGGCTGTAGAAATGAATGGAAGTCAATGGAAAGTCCCCACAAAGATAGCCACGCAAACGTGTGTGTGTGTGTGTGTGTGTGTGTGAGAGATTTTTGCTGAAATGAAGCTTATTCTTCTGTCAGTGAAGTTACTCAGTGTTGAGAAAAGCCAGAGCTTTAAGTCAAGGGACTCCATTTGCAGGTTATGTAGATTTAGTGTCCCAGTAAAAGTAATGATGAAAATGTGCATGTTGCACTTTAAAAGATGAAAGTTCAATACATAATTTTTCCTTTCTACAATTATGCTCCACTTTGTGCTGTTTTAAAAATACATTCTTATGCAGTGAATAAATTATTAAAGCATGCAGGGTGGAATGTGCTGAATATTGCTTTTTTTCATTCTAAATTGATTTTTAGAGTAAATTATGAAGAAATGATAATAATAATGCCTAGGATTGGGTCATATAGCTTTAAAAAAATCTGGTATTTTTTCAGACTAGATTTGATGTCTGATATAATTTTTTTGCTTATTTTTTTTTTCTTTTTTAAAAGAAATTACAAATGACAGCAAATATTTTCAAAAAGTGGTTTTTATTTCAATCATCTCTTTGAGTTGTACAACACAGCATCAGGGCCAGTCTACGAGACATTTTGTTCATATTAGCAAAATAAAGACACAATTTTATCAGAAAAAGTCTTAAAATTACCAAAAAAGGTCATTTTTAATGAAAAAAAAAAAGATTTGATAATCATGAGGATGTGATGTGACCAGCACAGTCCGTTTTTCTTCGTTATTGAAACAATCATGTGAACATTGTGTCCAAGTCCTGCTACTACTGATGATTTGTTGCTGATGTCTGGAAAGATTGTGTTGTATCTTTCCACTCAGCTGATGTAGCCGTGGTGTTGCGGCTACATCAGTGTTGGCCGTAAAACTGATGTATAACCTCACAGTATGCTCAGGACATTTTTTTTTTAAATGTCTTTTTTCATTATTATCTTTTTGTGCAGGAGTTCAGGTAATATTATAACTCTGTTGTCATAACTAAATAGTAAAAAATCAACCATCGTAATGCTTCATAGTGGAGTTGATCTGGATTCAACATCCAAATAAATAGAAGCCATAAAACACACACTTAAAACAAGATGGCGGCCCTCGTCATGCCAGCGTCACTCTAACGTATGGAAACTCAATGACTGGAGGAAAAAAAATCCAGACTTTCCAAAACCAATGACTTTATAAACTTGATTAATGGTTAACGATGCCTCTCCTTTGTCTCCAGACCAATACGCCCATGGCCAAAGAGGAGAGCCCATCGGCACCTGCCGGTCTGCTCGTTGACCTCCTGAGTGACCCTTTGATTGAGCCCCTCAGCAGCTCAACGAACAAACCCTCCTCTGAGCTTTTTGAGGGCCTGACAAACGACACAGCCGTCACAGCGGGGAAGCCTTCGGTTGAGGCCTCGGATGAGTTTGTTGACATTCTGGGAAGTGAAGCTGCAGCACAAAGAGAGGAAGTGGATGTTACAGTGGAAGCAGCGGCGGGGGATAAGGGTGAAACAAGCCGTGGCGCAACAGATTTACTCGCCGATGGAGAAACGAGAAGTGCCCCTGAACAGGAAGCGACTTCTGCTGCTCCAGTCATGGACCTCGGCGGCTTGCAGCAGCCACCTGCCAGTGCAAAGGTCACCGACCCGCTGGAGGACCTCCTGAGCGATCCGCCGGCTACCGCCGCCTCTGACGCCCACAAACCCAGCGGCGCGGTGGTCGACCTCTTCGACGACGAGGGAAGCGACATTTTCACCGGAGCCCCATCTAGCAAACCTGCCAAGCAGCCTCAGAAAAGCCTCTTCGGTGAAGCGGACGAGGACCTGTTCGGCGAGCCGCTGGGCGCCGTCTCAAAGAAAGCCACCAGTAAGGAGCAGAAGGAGAAATCCGCCCCGGCTTCAGCTGGAGAACCCGCTCACATCTTCACTGAGGAGGCGGTCGGCACGGTGCCAAACACCAGACCGGTCAGCTCCAAAACCAACGGAATCCCTCCCGAAGAGGACTCTGATATATTTGCAGGTGGGCAGACTGTTCACTTTTTATTTTTCCTGGTAAATGTGTAGAGATCAAACTTCAGCCTCGTTTTTTCGTCTGCTTTCTCTCTTTGTCCGACAGAAGCCACAGTGGAGCTTTCCCTGGACAGTCCGAGGAGCGAGAGAAGGAAAGAAGCGACAACCAAACAGCCTGCTTCTGCCTCCACCTCCGTCTCAGCCGCCGCCAGCCTCACCAAGCCACAGTCGGCCGCTGTGGAAGAGGTACACACAACCTTTATTTACTTAAAGTCCTACAAATCTTCCAAATGGATGACAAATCCATTTGGACTCTCTTTTTGGCTCTACTTCCTGTTGGAGGAAGAAGCAGCTGGGACAGGGTTTCACTCTTCTTGTCTATAATTTGTTTCAGCTGGAAGAAGAGGAGGAAGAGGAACTTGAAGATAAGTTTGACATCTATGTCTCCGTTAAAGACCCTGAGAAAATAGGTGAGGAGCATTTCTTTCTTTCAACAAAGCTCGACAAATCCTCTGATTTAGCAGACAGTTTGATTTTTTTCTTGTTTTCTTCTAGGGGACGGCATGAACGCCTACATGGCTTATAAAGTATCAACACAGGTATGAAATGAGCTGTGGTGGACACTGTTAGCTAACAAGCTAGCTGCGCTAACCCTAAAGTGATAATCATAAATATTAGTTTTGCTAATGCGCTACAGCAATATGGTATTTAGTGAAAGCTAAACCATGTTGTCAATGAGACGACATGTTACGTTGCCCTCTTCTGGTTCAAATTTGTTATTACACACCCATCTCAACAGTTAGAAAGTGATGCATAGAGTTGTTGAGCTTTGCTAACTCTTGTTAATTTTGCCTAATTCACCACAGCAGGGTTTTGGTCAGAAAGCACGCAGGACATCAGGAGATTTTAAACTGTTTAACTGTTGCATTCTGGGTAGAGATTAAACATTTTGTGAGAAGAAACACAGCACATAGACAGTGCTCAGCCACTTCAAAATAAGAGCGTGAATATAAGCATATAACTACTTAAACAATTCTTAAGAGTCGATAATGTTGAACTTTATTCAGTTGAAACTTAAGTAAATTAGTGCTTTAGAAATTATGTGGAAAAATTCATTTGGGGCAAGAAAAGTGCTCCAAATGTTTTCAAAGTTAGCTAAAATGCTAACTCAAAACATTAGCTCTGCCGATTAGCGCAAGTGTGGTCGTCAATGAAAACATGAACCAAAAGCCTGTGGATTTGACGTGAAAGTTTCTTTTTAAATCTAAGGAGATTATACTTGTACAAGAGAGGAAAACGCTTGATAAACTGTTATAGAAACAGATTTCTACATTGATGTATTTTTTCTTTCTTTCTCCAGACCTCTCTGCCAATGTTCCGCAGCAAAACGTTTACTGTGAGGCGACGCTTCAGTGACTTCCTTGGCCTCTACGAGAAGCTCTCTGAAAAACACGGGCCGAACGGATTGATTGTTCCTCCACCGCCAGAAAAAAACCTCCTAGGTAGCGTTAACTCTATCGATATTGATCTGTGTTCAGATCTACGGTTCAGAGATGATTTTATTGGCATTTGATGCGACTGACCAGCAGCTAGTGCGTACTTGTGAAGTGAGCACAAATCGATACGATCACAATTTTACGAAAACACCAATTACAATGAAAATGGGATCCGTTTTTGCATTCATTGCAAATGTGTAGAATGGATTAAAAATGTTCTGATTTCTCTGGTTTTTTGCTGGGTTTGGTCACATCGACATGTCGTGGCTGTAACAGTGGGACGGATGGAGGTGTGAATAATTGTTTTCTGGTTCAGGAATGACAAAGATGAAGGTGGGAAAGGAAGATTCGTCATCTGCAGACTTTCTTGAGAGGAGAAGAGGAGCTTTGGAAAGGTATGACTGCATGGACGGATGTTGATATTTAATATTTTATCAGGACTTTTTTTTTTTTTTTTGAATTTGCAAAGCAGAAAGTTGAGTTTTCTGGTTTCCACAGGTACCTCCAGAGAGTAGTGACTCACCCAATGCTGCTGCAGGATCCTGATGTCAGAGAATTTCTGGAGAAGGAGGAAGTAAGCAGCATCTTTAGTTTTTTTTCCAGTCTGGTTCTTTTTTTTTATTTTTTTAGTTAATATTGAAAGATCAGGACAGAGATTTGTTTTCCTCCCTTTTAGCTCAGAACGTTCTTTATCCGTCTCGGGCTTTGATGAAGTTGTGACTTGTTTTCTCAGCTGCCCAGAGCCGTCAGCACCCAGGCGCTGAGCGGCGCCGGCTTCCTTAAGATGCTCACCAAGGCAACAGATGCCGTCAGTAAAATGACCATCAAGATGAACGAGTCGGATGTGGTGAGTTCGAGTCGCAAACGTTCACTTCTGATCCAGACCCGTTTTGTTTTCCTCTCCTCCTTTAATGCTTTAGTGAGCAAATCCCATCAGGTTCACTTTAAGGTACAAACTAAGGAGTCATGAACAAAATGAAGAGCCAACAGTTGTTAAATAGTTTGATATTCAAATCAATTAAACTCAAATGCTTTAGCAGGTAAAGATAAAACTTTTTTTTCTTCTCAATATTTGAACATGATGTGGTTTAAAGACGAGATTCATTTTCTTTGCCAGCTTAAAAACAGTTTCCTACTAGTCGATATTAATCTTCAGCTACGGCCAATAAGCTGTTTTTAAAGGTGTGAGTCTGTATCCATCAAACACCACATGGCCACATGGTGACATTTATGTTTCGGGAAGGGAAACAAGATGGAAAGAACATCAGACGTTAATATCGGCCCGGTTTCACTTACTGGACTGATACTGATATTTTTTTAAAAGTGATACCGATGTTTATGCTGATATATTGAGTTATAAGATCTTATATAAAAGTTCATAATCAAGAATAATACGGACAACCATGAACATCCTCTTTATGAAACTGTCTTTAGTCAGAGGCTTCTTCCAATTCGCTGTAATACAGACTGCTACAGGAGATCCTTCCTGCTTACAACCATCCCTACCGACAGTAACTCTTTGAAGAATCCTGAATTAATGTGATTCACAGCAACATTTAAAATCCCTTAGGGGCCAATAAAGTATTTTTGAATTGGGAAAAGTGTTAAAACCCTGTGGTGTTTTTGGGTTTTTTCCTGCAGTGGTTTGAGGAGAAGCTGCAGGAGGTTGAGTCTGCAGATCAGCAGTTCAGGAAGCTCCACGCTCTGGTTGAGTCACTCGTGGTTCACAGAAAAGGTAAAGTTTTATTTTGTTGTTGTTTTTCAAGTCTCTCTGATTCCAGAGCGTAACCATAACTCGGTCATGTGGTTTCCCGCCTCCAGAGCTGTCCCTGAACACGGCAAGCTTCGCCAAGAGCGCGGCCATGCTGGGCAGCGCCGAGGACAACACGGCGCTGTCCCGCGCCCTGTCGCAGCTGGCCGAGGTGGAGGACAAGATGGAGCAGCTCCACCAGGACCAGGCCGCCAACGACACCTTCAGCTTCGCCGAGATGATTGCAGACTTTATCCGCCTGCTGGGAGCGGTCAGGGTACGCCAGGAAACCAGTCACGGTGCGAAACGCTGCTGAGAGGTGACTGTGACTGATGGTGTCTGCCGCCTCACAGGGTACGTTCGACCAGCGGATGAAGGCGTGGCAGCGCTGGCAGGACGCGCAGGCCATGCTGCAGAAGAAGAGGGAGCTGGAGGCCAAGCTGCTGTGGGCCAACAAGCCGGACAAGCTGCAGCTGGCCAAGGAGGAGATTGCCGAGGTAACGCCCACGGGACCCTAACACTAAAAAATGTTCCAGAAATTAAATCTAATTAAGATGGATTTATCGCCCAGCCCTACATCCTGGTTATCATTTTGAATTTGTTGAGTGTTACTGTGTATCAGACTCCATTTGTTGTCGTTTTTCCTCAGTGGGAGGCCAAAGTGACTCAGTACGAGAGAGACTTTGAGAGAGTTTCTGCAACTGTGCGCAAGGAAGTCGTCCGCTTCGAGGTCTGACTCGTCTGTCTTTCCAAACTCTCCGAGCCGATCGGTTAAACACGAATAATCTTTTTTTTTTATTTCTTTTTTTTTATCACCAACAGAAAGAAAAGACCAAGAATTTCAAGAGACAGATAATCGTGTACCTGGAGTCCCTGCTTCAGTCGCAGCAGCAGGTGAGTCTGTCGCTCATCACCGCCATGATTTCTGAATTCAGTTTGGACTCAAGAATTAATTTTATTAAGAATAGTTTAAATGCAATTTTTTCTTCTAATGAAAAAAGGGGGCAAAATTACACCTACAGCTTAAAATACATTTGTAAACTACTGCTAATATTTATTTGTCCTTTCAACCTAAACCACTCCATTTTTGTAGCCAAATTTGAACACGCTTGACACTTAGGAGAGTCCGTTTAAAAATAATTTTGCTTTTAAATTAAACGCGTCTTAAATCTACTTGTGGCAGGACTATTTATTGATGTCTTTTTTTTTTGTGACGGGTCTTTTCTGTCAGGCAAAAGTTTGAGTTCTTTCCAGATATCTTTAGGCTACCGCTAACTAGCTGCTATTAGCCAGCTCGCTATTTTGGCGTCTATCATGGGTCCAATTTATCGCCTGTTAGTTGGACAACATTAATTTTCACCACTAGCTGACTTCTGTTGCTAACTCACATGATTCTAGGTGTATACTGTGGAAAATGAAACTAAATTTTAAGCTTGGCACTCTAACCATTAAGCAGATGACAGAAGTTTCTGCTTTTCTTGATTGTCATAAACCCTATATTTGGGCTTAAATTTAATTCAAGCTGGCCTTAAAAAGTCTTAAATTTCACTTGCTAAAACCTGCAGATGCCCTGACACAATCATCATACCAACATGGGGAAAAAATTTTATTAAAATCCCAAGTATGGGTTATGAATGTGCACCATTAAAATGCACCTACTGATGCGTTTGTTTTTTTTCCAGCTGATCAAGTACTGGGAGGCGTTCCTGCCTGAAGCGAAAGCCATCGCCTAACGGCCGGCCCTCTGACCGACAAACAGGCTGCCTTCTTTATACACTTTACCTCCTTTTGCCTTTAAAGCAAGAAAACAAATGTGTGTTGAAAAGGGAGATACAATCAACATTTTTTTTAATACAATCATCCTTAACATATAGCTCTGTATTCTATTGTATTAATAACTGTATATTTTCATTTGTCCTTCCACTATTTTCTTACTAGAGCAAAGAGTATAAAGATGAAAAGTTTAGCCTGGTGATTTGTCAGTAGCGCCCTCTGCGGGTGATGAGGAGCTCCTTCCAGTCTGAAGCTGAAGGTGGCCAAGAGTCTCACTCTGCTTCTCGCTTGTAATAATGACTCAAAGAAAAAAAAAAAAGGGATTAAATAACTTTTCTGATCACTTCTAGCCGCTGGATTAACTTCCTCGAGTTGTAGCCGGTGTATTTTTCTTCACAGGTTGAAGTAGTGGGGAGGGGAATGAAACGGGTTACACGTCATGTTTGTGGGTTCGATGTTTTCCGATGGGATTTAAGTCATGCAAAACCATGTGTCTGTGCCTTTTTACTTGGAAATGATGCTAGATTGAGAGAATTTTGTACACAGATGTGAGCCGAGCAGAGGCTTTGTTGCACTTAGTTTAAAAAAAGAGAGACTGTCCTGGTGTTTTCCTGAATGGAAACTTGCAGAGTACATGTGGGACAGGTGAGCATGTTTGGGCCCGTTTCTCACGTCAGAGTTCATGATCGACTCTTTTAAAAAAACAGCCAGTCAGATACGTCAGCTGAACGCTGCCAGGATTTTTTTTTTTTTTTTTTATCTGAAGTTGTTTTTTGTTTTTTGTTTTTTTGTTTTTTCTCTGCTGATGGTGAAACATCTCGGCTCGGTTCTGCTCCTTGCTCTTTCTTTCACACCAAATGGGCCGCTCCCACCTGTCACTGTCATCAAACTGAAGTTTATCTGATGGAAACATGATCAAGATGCATCTAAATTTTCTCCCCCCCCCACCCCCCCCCCCCCCCCCACACACACACGTTACTTTAAATTCAGTCATGTGCTGCTTCAGGTTCAATTAACACTCGGTCATATTTGCAGAAGTAATTTTTCCAGAGGTTTGAGTCGTGTCTGTTTGCATCATCAGAGCATTGATAGAAAGTTTTTTTCTTCTGTCTTTTTGTGGCAAACTCAGAGAAGAAGGGCTTGAACCAAAGAAGAATGTTGAATATTTTTTCTGAATGAATCACGAGTTATTTAGCATTACCGTGGAAAAAGAACAGGCGATCGTTTTGGGTAAATTATTCAACAAGAATGAAGGAGTGAAAAATCAAGATTGTCTTAAAGCGTACATCTGAAGCGTTACCTGGACCGCATCACTGCCGTACGGAGGCAAATCTTCCACCTGGTTCCTACTCTAACGTCTCGGTTCTTCACTAAACTTCATCACCGTTTTCGCATGGAAGATCCTGTAATGTCCTGAGGTTTCTTTGATTTATTTCTTTTCTTCTTTAGACCCTAACAGTTTTTTTGTTTTGTTTTTTTTTTTTTACATGTTTTCTACACCACATTACTAAAATTGTCTGTATGGCCTCTCACTATTGTAATGTTGGGACATACTGTGTCATAGATTCCTTAAAAAAAAAAAAATCAATAAAAGTTGCACTGTTTACTCTTGAACATTTCATAGAGGTTTCTGTTTTGACTGTTTATTCCCCCTCTCCCCATTGTTGTTTTGCATAAACCAGTTTTTACTTTAATGTTAAAGGATATTTTTTGCATTTTCTGTCAAAAGCTACATTTGTTAATGATTTTGTCAAAGCAATAAAAGGAGTTAAAACTTTTTATAGGTACTGTACATCTTACAAATGAAATAACAGCTATGAATGGAAAGTTTTCTGAATGTCTGTTCTGATGCAGAGCACTAAAAAAAGACTTGAATTAAAAAGCAAAAAGTTAGGATGCTAAGCACGCGTCCGAGGAAGCCCAGGTGTTAAATTTTTCAGGCTCAAATAATCTTAATGCATAGAGCTGCTAGTTATTGTGTTAGAGAGGCAGAACATTTATAGTGAAAGCCTGTAATCTGAAAGAGACAAAAGGTTAGCATAGCATTTTAATCTTGCATAACTTTAGTGCTAAGGCTACAAAAACACTGCCAGGACATTTTATTTTATGACAGAATCTGCTGAAAGCAATAAAAATGCTTTTGCGTGTGTAAAAGCATTTTCATGAACAAGTCAAGAAATTTAATTTTAAACGATGCTAAAAAAAAAAATCCCTCAATGTGCTGAAAAAGACGGTTTTTGGCGGTTTTTTCTAAGAACCGCTGCTGTGTCATGACAGCAGCCTTCAATTTTACTGACATCTTTAGGTTAAAGTTAGTTGCAGTTTTATAATCTCACTAAAAATTTGTTGCAGCTCACCTCATGTTTGTTCTCCTTATATGGTCATTTTAGATCCTCTTCCACCGTTGTCTGCCTCCAGGTATCTATTCACTGCTGACTGTAGACTCCGTATTTGCAATTTTGTATCGTGATTTTATGTCATTTCCTGTCTTAAAAACAACAGCCCACATCTGAGTTTCTTTTATTTTAGGTTTCATTTCAGCCCCCCTTCCCCAGGAGAGGTCGCGTGAACCCGCGTCACCTGCACGCGGTCCCGCAAGAAGTCGAGTGGTACAGTGGAGCACACGCTTCATACGCCGTCCACTAGGGGGCATACTGACACCGGGTGTGCTTTTAGGGTTTTATTTATCTCGTGGTTTTAGGAGGGCTTTTATTATGACTAATAATTAGCTTTTTTTTTATTTATTTATTTGTAACGTAATATTACTTTATTAACATTTTCGAGCGTGAGAAATGTGCCGCCATTTTTATGTTCCAGAGAAACAGGAAGTCATGAATTACTCATCCGAGGACCTAGCCCATAGACATGATATAAGCATAGACGGCCTCATGGACTACTCCGGCGCAGGAAATACGGCG